AACATTACATTAATGTTTCAGAACAACCTTCTGTGAAATCAAAATAGTCTGTTTAACAGTGTTTTTACCAGTGTAATTTCAGAGATGAGCTATTCACCTGCACTAGTCAATCCACTGAAAAAGAGTTTGTTTTGGTCATCATTAATCACAGTCTGAGCATTTGCTTGGAGTAGCGGTCCTTCTGTTGACGGCTTCCATAGCAACTGTATATCAATACCCTTAACCACGCCCCTCTCACCATTAGTTTGCTATGAGGGAATGATACACAAGAGAAAGCCCCGCCCCCTAATATTCCCTTTTAGTACTTTAACAAATAAAGTCGCAGCATCTTCTGGAACACTCGGACTCTAATGATGTCTTGCTGATATGACCATGACTCTGAATGAGCCTGTGAGCTGGGAGGTTTGTTGGAGCGCCAGTCCCCTCTAAATCCCCCGTTCAGGAAGGCTGGTGTGTTCTGCTGATGCCGGTGTCCTGCTGCGGGACGCTCCATCACGGCTCCTCACCCCGGAGAATGGCCCACAGCCGGACCGCAGCCGGCACATGTCTGACCCAGCCGTGCCCCTCGGCGGGCCTGAAGATCAGTCTGGAAGGAGTGGAGGAGCGGGACGAGGAGCCGGAGGATGAAGGGGAGGACCTGCGGGACGGTGGAGTGCCCTTCATCATTAACAGGGGCGGCCTGCCTGTAAACGAGGAGACCTGGGAGCAGATGTGGAGGCATGTGGCCCGCATACACCCCGACGGAGAACAGCTGGCCCGGAGAATACGGGGAACCCGAGACCTGCCCAAGGTACAGATCTAACACTGTCATCTGTTGACTAGTGAGTAGATGAGTTATCCTGTTGAGTAGTGAGTAGATGAGTTGACTAGTGAGTAGATGAGTTGACTAGTGAGTAGATGAGTTGACTAGTAAGTAGATGAGTTGACTAGTGAGTAGATGAGTTGACTAGTAAGTAGATGAGTTGACTAGTGAGTAGATGAGTTGGCTAGTGAGTAAATAAGTTGACTAGTAAGTAGATGAGTTGACTAGTGAGTAGATGAGTTGACTAGTAAGTAGATAAGTTGACTAGTGAGTAGATGAGTTGACTAGTGAGTAGATGAGTTGGCTAGTGAGTAGATGAGTTGACTAGTGAGTAGATGAGTTGACTAGTGAGTAGATGAGTTGACTAGTAAGTAGATGAGTTGACTAGTGAGTAGATGAGTTGACTAGTGAGTAGATGAGTTGACTAGTGAGTAGATGAGTTGACTAGTGAGTAGATGAGTTGACTAGTGAGTAGATGAGTTGACTAGTAAGTAGATGAGTTGACTAGTGAGTAGATGAGTTGGCTAGTGAGTAGATGAGTTGACTAGTGAGTAGATGAGTTGACTAGTAAGTAGATGAGTTGACTAGTGAGTAGATGAGTTGACTAGTAAGTAGATGAGTTGACTAGTGAGTAGATGAGTTGGCTAGTGAGTAGATAAGTTGACTAGTAAGTAGATGAGTTGACTAGTGTGTAGATGAGTTGGCTAGTAAGTAGATGAGTTGACTAGTGAGTAGATGAGTTGGCTAGTGAGTAGATGAGTTGACTAGTGAGTAGATAAGTTGACTAGTAAGTAGGCTAGTGAGTAGATGAGTTGGCTAGTGAGTAGATGAGTTGGCTAGTGAGTAGATGAGTTGACTAGTGAGTAGATGAGTTGGCTAGTGAGTAGGCTAGTGAGTAGATGAGTTGACTAGTTAGTAGATGAGTTGGCTAGTGAGTAGATAAGTTGACTAGTAAGTAGATGAGTTGACTAGTGAGTAGATGAGTTGGCTAGTAAGTAGATGAGTTGACTAGTGAGTAGATGAGTTGGCTAGTGAGTAGATAAGTTGACTAGTAAGTAGATGAGTTGACTAGTGAGTAGATGAGTTGGCTAGTAAGTAGATGAGTTGACTAGTGAGTAGATGAGTTGACTAGTGAGTAGATGAGTTGACTAGTGAGTAGATGAGTTGACTAGTTAGTAGATGAGTTGGCTAGTGAGTAGGCTAGTGAGTAGATGAGTTGACTAGTTAGTAGATGAGTTGGCTAGTGAGTAGATAAGTTGACTAGTAAGTAGATGAGTTGACTAGTGAGTAGATGAGTTGGCTAGTAAGTAGATGAGTTGACTAGTGAGTAGATGAGTTGGCTAGTGAGTAGATAAGTTGACTAGTAAGTAGATGAGTTGACTAGTGAGTAGATGAGTTGGCTAGTAAGTAGATGAGTTGACTAGTGAGTAGATGAGTTGACTAGTGAGTAGATGAGTTGACTAGTGAGTAGATGAGTTGACTAGTTAGTAGATGAGTTGGCTAGTGAGTAGGCTAGTGAGTAGATCAGTTGGCTAGTGAGTAGATGAGTTGACTAGTGAGTAGATGAATTGGCTAGTGAGTAGATGAGTTGGCTAGTGAGTAGATGAGTTGACTAGTGAGTAGATGAGTTGGCTAGTGAGTAGGCTAGTGAGTAGATGAGTTGACTAGTTAGTAGATGAGTTGGCTAGTGAGTTGGCTAGTGAGTAGATGAGTTGACTAGTGAGTAGATGAGTTGACTAGTGAGTAGATGAGTTGGCTAGTGAGTAGGCTAGTGAGTAGATCAGTTGGCTAGTGAGTAGATGAGTTGGCTAGTGAGTAGATGAGTTGACTAGTGAGTAGATGAGTTGATTAGTGAGTAGATGAGTTGACCTGTTGACTAGTCAGTAAATGAATTTACCTGTTAAATAGTATGTAGACGAGTTTACCTGTAGATCAACAGCTAAAGTCGTCCACTGACTAGTTTGAATCTAAATAGTCATGTCACCATTAATGTTTGGGTGAACTGGCCCTTGTAGACTGACTGAATCAGATGCATGTGGTCATTATTCAGCAAGTTCAGCTGCACCATTACTGATGATGCCTGAAGACCAGCTCACACGTTATGGTTGTTAAATTAGACAAACTAAACATTGTTAGAATGACGTTCACTGAACTTTATTATTGTGTGAAATATATTCTCATAATGATGAAAGGAAACATGATTAAGCCTGATTAAATCCTGTTGATGTCGCTCTGCAGATTCCAGTACCAAGTGTGCCTACATTCCAGCCCAGCATCAGTATTGCCCACCGCCTGGAAGCCATACAGAAATACATCAGGGACTTGCAGTATCCTTTCAGCTGTGTCTTCCTCTGTTTCTGTCTAGCTGATGTTGAAAATCAACATTTAAGCTGTCTGAGATCAGCATGCTCTGTAAGGCAGAATGGATGGAATTTGACCCTGATTAAGCGTGATCGTCCTGCTTTGAGCTTCTGTCAGGGTTTGGGCTCAGTGTAGGCAGATGGAAATAAAAGCGCAGAGCAGAAGATGACAACCCAAACCTCTGCAAATGTCAAGAACAGTGAGACGCTGTGTGTGCTGGGATATGCCGTCCCATGTGAGCGCGCTTCTCCATTGGCAGGCAGTGTGTTTGTGCTTAACATGGTGTCTCAGATACAATCACACTGGAACACAGTTCTTCGAGATCAAGAAGAGCCGGCCGCTCACAGCGTAAGACCATCTGCTCCTCTAATGCAAAGCCTCAGATCCAACACCTGACCCACAGGAGTAGAACAGAACACAGCCATAGATATAAATGTAGATGAAGTCTGAATTATTAGCCCACATCCCTCATCATAACAGTGTTAATAACTCATCTCTAATAGCTGATGTGTTTCCTCTCCTCCATGATGACAGCACATCATATTAGACTAGATATTCTTCAAGACACTAGTGTTCAGCTTACAGTGACATGTAAAGGCTTCACTAGGGTAATTAGGGTAAAGTTAGGGTAATTAGGCAAGTCATTGTATAACAGTGGTTTGTTCTGGAGACAATCCAACACTAATATTGCTGAAGGGGTGAATAATATTGAGCTTAACATGACTTTAACACTATTAAACACTGCTTTTACTCTAGCCCAAATAAAACACATCAGACTTTCTCCAGAAGATGTTTAAAAAATAACAAAATACAAAGAGAGTGAATAATTCTGACTGTCTATAATGACTAATTCAGTACATCTGCAGAGGTCAAACATTAATAACGCTCTTATGAGATTTCTGACATAATATAATGGTCTGGTGGCTTTCATGTTTATGACAGATTTATGACGCATTATGTTGTCTTGGTAACGTCAAGCTGCCATAATAACAACAACATCTCAAACAATGTCATGTTTGCGTTTAAAATGTCCCAACTGAGCGAAAGACACTTAATAACAGTTGTCATGAACATGCATAACATCTCCTGATGATTATAAAGGTCTTATCAACTCCTTCCTCCTGTAAAGTGTTAAAGAGACAGTACACCTCACTCTCCCTCAAGTGTTTCCAAACCTTTATGAGATTCTTCTGTTAAACACTAAAGAAGATATTTAGAGGAATGCTGGAAACCACTGACTAAAGCAAACACTGTGGAAGTCAATGGTTTCATGTTTCCAAACATTTTTCTAAATATCTCCTCTTGTGTTCAACAGAAGAAAGAATGCAAGTGAAGCGTGAGTAAATGATGACTGGTGTTCAGTTTGGGGTGAGCTGGTATTCTGAAAGCCGTCTCATGTAAACACTGTGAACAACAGAGGATTATACAGTATATCGGGCTTGTATCATTCAATAACCGGCCTAATTAATGAAGAGCCAGGAAGCAGTGATGACAATCTGCCCTAAATAATGACATTAGATGCATTCAATATCAGTTCCCAGTGATGAGCAGAGATGTCTGTAACGGCTCAGAGTAACACAGAAGCATACTAGAATAACTGATAAAAGCAGAATAATGCAGATCCAAATCAAGGTGCAAGGTTAAACTCATTGTCCCCGTTAGGAGAGATGTGTTGTTCTGCTCTACATATGACACACTCATTAAAGACCCTAATGCTAAAACACATCCTAATGTAAATACAGGTGCATTATGACGTTCATTCAACACACAATGTGCACCCTTCACCCTCTGTTAGGCCAGTCAGGGATCTTATTCTCTTAACCACCTCACCGTAATTGCTCATTAATCCGTTTAATTGAAAAGATAATATGGATATCCCTCTATATATATCTGCATAATGAGACTCTATATCTTCTGGCAGAATTATAAAACCTGTTTATCTTCAGCATAAAGTTAAAGGAGCTGAACATTCCCTAAGGAAAGTGTGTATTTAGGCGCTCTGCTCTTCATGTGTGTGATGTTGATTGTCCACTGCCGTGTGCTCCTCAGATTAATGGACATTGCCAAGGAAATGACCAGAGAATCTCTGCCAATCAAGTGTTTGGAGGCTGTTATCCTTGGAATGTATCCTTTATTGAAGACTCTGATCCGTGATGATATGAACAGCCTGACTGCAGCGCTGTTATCAAGTCTGGAACTGCTTATATATGTAGTCTGCTTAACTCGAGAGCTTCTGCTTCATTCATCTGTCTTCGCACAAATCTGCAGTGAAATGTGCTACTCAGATCAGACTGACGTGATGAGGGACACAGATCCAGTTTGACAGCTAGTTAGGGTTACTCTCAGCCTCAGGGCGGGAGGAGGAAAACACTGAGCACATGTCAGGCACATGTACTGTATTAAACTAAGACTACAAGACCTAGTTCTGGAAACCCCTGTGTTAGTGTGAACTAAACAAAGGCAAACTGCTGTCCCCACAAAATAACCATCACAAACATGATGAACATCTCCTCTGCTGGAGTCAACGCTTGAAGTAGATTAAAAATGTTTTCACAATCGTCCTCATGCAGCTGTGATGATGTCCTTCCCCTGCTGTCTCCCATAGAGTATACATAGAGCTTCCCTTAGCATCACACTGGAAGATCAAACCTAGGAAGCGAGTACTTTTAAACTGCCTAATACAGAGCCCTGAGGCACACCGTAGTACAGTTACCAGTTCCCCTTTCACACAGGATTTAGAACATCTCAATGCTTCTTTACATGTGTCAGTGCAATTCCCTGATCTGCCCAAGAGAACCACCGCATCTGCAGCACACGCTCATCAACAACATCTCTAGATTCAGTCATTCTCCTTCAGCTTAGTTCCTTTATTCAACTGGGGTCGCCACAGCGGAATGAACCGCCAACTATTCCAGCATATGTTTTACGCAGCGGATGCCCTTCCAGCTGCAACCCAGTACTGGGAAACACACATACACACTCATTCACTATGGCCAGTGTAGTTGATCAGTTCCCCTATAGCGCATGTGTTTGGACTGAAACCCGGAGGAAACCCACACCAACACAGGGAGAACATGCAAACTCCACACAGAAACACCAACTGACCCAGCCGAGACTCAAACCAGAGACCTTCTTGCTGTGAGGCCACAGTGTGACACCACTAAGCCACTGTGCTAGATTATAAAGGCAGTTTGTGTTTGCGCTGTGGTGAATCCTGAACAAATGTTCAATGTCTGCAGGGTTTGAGACGGCTCTGCTGTTGATGTCTGTTTCTGCAAGTCATCTTAAGGACAGGAGGAGGGTTATTGGCAGCAGCAGCACTCTTCGGGTGTCCTGAAGATGTACAGCATTAAGAGCTTGGACAGATTATCGACTCTGAGGGCCAGAAAAGTGCTCTGTGGTGATGCCTAATGGTAATGTAGTGCTGTCAGAGTAAGACTGAGCTAGATCAACAGGAGGAAGATGACTGCATTCCTATGACACATATAGACACATCTCACTGTGTCTCACTGTGGCCTCACAGCAAGAAGGTCTCTGGTTTGAGTCTCGGCTGGGTCAGTTGGTGTTTCTGTGTGGAGTTTGCATGTTCTCCTCGTGTTGGTGTGGGTTTCCTCCGGGTGCTCCGGTTTCCCCCAGTCCAAACACATGCGCTATAGGGGAACTGATCAACTACACTGGCCATAGTGTATGAGTGTGTGTGAGAATGAGTGTGTATGGGTGTTTCCCAGTACTGGGTTGCAGCTGGTCGGGCATCCGCTGTGTAAAACATATGCTGGAATAGTTTACTCTATTGTTCTTGTAAGAGTTATCTGCTAATATAATATAGTGTTTGATGCTTTAGAAGACGCACATGCAGCACCTTCCCCTGTACCTGCTGATCATGTACAGCTGTTTCCCGGTGCCTCCCTTAACTCCTGCGATGGCTCAGTTACCTCACCAACAGCATGCCGAGCGTGGAGCGCTTTCCTCTCAGCTTTAAAACTCAGTTCTCAGGGAGTCACTTCCGTCACATCGTGCTGGGCGTTCACAGCGGCGGTCGCTTCGGCGCTCTGGGCATCAGCCGCCGCCAGGACCTGATGTACAAATCACTGCAGTACAAAACACTGAGCGACCTGCTGCTGGACTTCCAGGAGGCGTACCGCGGCCACTGGCACACGCTCTGCAGGGTCAGGATCGGCCATTACGTGTCCCACGACCCACACAGCGTAGAGCAGATCGAGTGGAAGCATTCGGTGCTGGATGTAGATAAACTGACCAGAGAAGAGCTGAGGAAAGAGCTGGAGAGGCACACGCGGGACATGAGGCTCAAGGTAATACACATTAATCCTGATTAACATAACATAAGTATTGGAAAGGTGATCATTTTCCACAGAACACATATCATTAAAGGTGGTGTTTCACTTGAAATGTCTCACCGGATGTCGGTAACAACCAAAGACATCAAGAAAAGGAAAACAGATCTAATTAGTGTACAAATGAAGTTCTGTGTAATAAAATGAAATGAAGCTGGAGAAAAGTGTTGAACACATGAAGAAGGGCAGGTGTAGTTGTACAGGGAAAGCCCAGACAGCAGCTGAAATCTCTCAGCAGTTCTTCAGCAAAGCCTCTCAGTGTACATGAAGATCAGCTGCTTCAGTCCAACATCTACACCAGCAGGAGGATGAAGATCAAGACATTTCAGCAGGACGATGATCCAAACACAGCCGAGGAGACTCTCAGACGCTTTCAGAGAAAGAAAATCAAGCTGTAGAATGGCCCAGCCAAACACCTGATCCGAATCCAATAGAGAATACAGAATACAGCTCAGGTTTGATAGACCCACAGGATCATCAAGATTTACTCTCTCTGTTGAAGACTGTGAGAAACTCACCCCTGAGCACTGCAGGAGGCTTCAGTCTCCATCTTTAAACTGCCCTAACCACAGCAGCCTTTACAAAGAGTATTAAACACAGTTCAGTAGTTCGGCACGTTCTCCTTCTGTCAGTCTCATCTTATCACACACCACAGTTTATTTTCTGTTGTTTTGTTTGTATGTTTGTATCTACAGCACTGTGCAGAAGTCTGAATGCCTTAAAGTCTACCTGTACCTGTACACATGCCTGATCTGGCCAGGGGAGTGTGTGTGCTCAGTAAAACTAGTGCTGGATTATAAAACAAGCACAGAAGGCCTCACAGTATCGTGCGCTGTGTTTATCCCAGAGGTGTGTGTGTGTTTCAGATTGGTAAAGCAGCTCCGCCGTCGCCCTCTAAAGACAGAAAGAAGGATGTTGGTTCTCCTCTGAGGAACCCGGGCAGCCCAATGCGCAAGAACAGCCAGAGCGACAGACGGTACGCACAGCTTATTCCAACACAGGCTCATTCTGAAAACATACCCCGATATACATTTCTGGAGAGCACCAGTTATGTAGCCAGATGTACGTATGGCTGCATTTCATCTCAAAAGTGAACACTGCGGGGCGGTTTGATGCCGTTCATTTACACGCTACCAGCTGACCGCTTACCTCCATATGGACGGCTTTCCCACTGTCAACAGTTTGTCCAGTGGCACAGGGTTCGATTCTGGTGAAGAATGATTGTAGATAGCAGGTAAGACAAAGAGCAAAAAATAAAATGAAATAAACGAGTAAATAACAGGGTGCAGACATGGTGAAACCTGAAATGAATCTATTTTTCTGGATCGCTTTTGAAAACACTGTTGGTTGGGTTTAGGGAAGGAGGAGGGTGGGTCTGTTGATGGGTCAGTCAGTCGACAGCGTCCTCTGGTGGATTCACGAAAGCAAAAACTGCAAAAAACGTAGCTCCTGAGACGTATTTGGCGCTCTCCAGAAATGTATACAGGGGTACATATCCAGAATGGGTTGGATTATTCACAGCACAGATCGCTTTCAGACACCCAACTGTGTCCTCAGTCAGTGTTATTTTCACAGGCCATCAGTAGAGAAGCGGCCCGCATCAGCAGGACCCGCAGCCGATGTGAACGGGTACCAGATCAGGGTGTGAGAGATTCAGCAACACCCACGAGACGGACTGGAAAAGCATGGGGTTTCACAGAGAATGTGCTCACTTCCTAGGGTAGACATGAACACACTTCTCCTTGAGTGGAGTAGACGCGTCATGAACAGTGCATCATCTCTATATTGATTTCTGCATCACGCTTGTCGTCACATGTATTCTGTAAATACAGCGCAGTTAACCTTTAACTCTACTAGACACTAATGTAGTCCGTTTACTGTGCCTTTGATCAGATTTGACTCTTCTTTAGGCTTTTGTCTTCCGGTACAAGCACTTAAATGAAGATACAGGAGGAGCTCAACATCTAGAGTCTTGTTTTCTGAATGATGTAGTTAAAGTCTGCGTGAAATCTACATTTACATTGTTTGTTTGCTAGCTAGTGAGCATTGTTAGTCTTAATCCACTGAATTTGCTTTAGTTATAATAATGACAATACTGATGATAATTCTGTACATTTCTGTACACATTGTTTCCTCATCCACCACCAGTGTGCAGCATCCACCTGGATGACATGACGGCAGCCATATTGGGCCAGACCGCACACCAGCTGATTGGTGGAGAGGAAGAGGAGACAGAGCGATGAAGCCAGTTATGATATGGGGATGGTAAAGAGGATGGACAGAGGCCAGTGGGCTAATTTGGTCAGGATCCCGGGGTTAAACCCGTACTCCAGGGGTGCCCAAACAGTCCTGGAGGGCCGGTGTCCTGCATACCTAAACACATACCTGACAGTTACTACAAAACCTAGAAAGAGCTTGATTGGCTGGTTCAGGTGTGTCTAATTGGGGTTGGAACTAAGCTTTGCAGGACACCGGCTCTCCGGGACCAAGTTTGAACACCCCTGCCCTACTCCAAGGACATCCTGGGATTTTTACTGAGCACAGAGAGTCGAGACCTCAGTTTAACCTCTCATCTGAAAGACGGCGCTCACTGACCCCTTCACTATACTGGGGCATTAGGACTCACACACACCCACCCCCTGCTGGCCTCACTAACAACACCTCCAACTGTAAACTAGTGTTCCCGTGTGTTCTCCCATCCAGACACTGACCTGCCTCAGCCCTGCTCAGCTTCAGTGGGGGGCCGTGTGAGAGTAGAGAGCGAGCTGCTGGTAATCTGCTCATCTTCACTCAGAATGTGCTCTGGAACAGCAGTCCCGCTCTGATGATGTCAGTTTGACGGATTGGGCAAAATTTGCTTAGTCACACCCCTCCAACCATTACATAATCCCGCCCCCTACTCAACATTGGTTAAATTCGCCAGCTTACTGAAATGACAGCGTCAGATATTTAAAGGACACTCCAATAATAATTGGAAATATGCTCGTTTTACAGCTCCAATAGAGTGAATCAGTTGAGTTTTACAGTTTTAATCCATTCAGCCTATCTCCAGGTCTAGCAGGTGCACTTTTAGCTTAGCTTAGCATAGATCATTGAATCGGATTAGACCATTAGCATCATTCGTTCCCAGAATTGTCCTATTTAAAGCTCGACCTCTCTGTTGTTATATTGTGTATTGATATGAGCAGAAAGCAAGACTGTAGCTGGATCTTCATTTGGTAATGTTCAGGCATCAGCGCATGATGTTCATGTGTGGTTCATGACGAGCAGCTCCTCATCTCCACCTCCTCAACTGAGCTGGTTAGATTTGGCCGGATGTGAGCGGTGAGTTGAGTCCGTGGTTTCCTCTTTCTAGTGACCGTCTGGTGTTTGTGAGGTGCGCAGCAGGGTTCAGCACTGACGTCAGTGATGTTGTGGATCAGTGTACAGGGTTCAGTAGATGGATGAAGGCAGCCCTCCAGCATTTTCCTGTTTAGATCCTTGATTGTTTTAAAATTTCTTGAAAGACTTGCTCAAACACACACTACACACACACACTACACTACACGCACGTCAATATGACAGACACATGAAGCCCGTTCCATCCTCCCCTGCAGAAATACATTTGATCATGCAGTGCCCTGCTCTTGCTGCTCAGACACTGATTTTCTCTGTGCTGTTTGACCTGAGGGTATCACTACACCTGAAGAGGTGTTCATAAGGCTGTCATGAACTATAATCCTGACACATCATGAATATGAAGAGATTTTCTACAACTCTTACTAGGTTTAATTGGCTCAGTTATGTCCTGTGAAATACTGAGATTAGTTTGATAGAGGACTTGATAACTTGAGATAATTTGACATTACCAAATAATAACTCTTATATAGTGAAGACAGTTTCAATGGCTTCATGGAAATCATGTTTATGACAGATTTATGACATTACCAAGACAACATATCTTGCCATAAATCCGTCATAAACATGATTTTCATGAAGCCATTCAAATTACAAAGGTATAACAGATGTGTTTATCTTGACATCTGCAATGGTACAAACTGAATTTGTGATTAATATTAATAACGCTGTTATAAACTGACAGTTTCATTCATTCATTTTCCTCCAGCTCAGACCCTTTATTTATCAGGGGTCGCCACAGCGGAATGAACCGCCAACTATTACACAAAATGTTTTACGAAGCAGGTGCCCTTCCAGCTGCAACCCAGTACTGGGAAACACCCATACACACTCATTCTCACACACACTCATACACTACGGCCAGTGTAGTTGATCAGTTCCCCTATAGCGCATGTGTTTGGACTGTGGGGGAAACCGGAGCACCCAGAGGAAACCCACACCAACACAGGGAGAACATGCAAACTCCACACAGAAACACCAACTGACCCAGCTGAGACTCAAACCAGCGACCTTCTTACTGTGAGGCCACAGTGCTGACCACTGCTCCACCACACCACCTCCACCTGCAAATAGAAGTGATCAGAAAAATGACAGAGTTAAAGTGGCCTCACGACAATCATGTTTATGTCAGGTTTATGACAAGTCATGTCAAACAATGTCAAATTTGCATTTAAAGTGACATAACTGACACTTAATATTCTCGACACGTGTCGTGACCGCCTTATGAACACTCTCTTGAAGTAATTGTTATCGACCTGAGAAATAACGTCTGAGGATAATTCCATGTGGACTCTACATGTGTGCTGTTCGGGCTTCAGTCTGTTTTATTAGAGCTTCAGGATGAAGTTGTTAGGTCGTATATTCTGCCCACACACACACACACACACACACACACACACACACACACACATACCTATTTACACACACTGCAGCCAAACGTGGTGCACTATGAAGTGCACACTAGACAGAGACGCTGATGCTGGTGCTGTTACTGTTCTTACACTCGTGGCCGGTCATCATCCGGTCATTAGAGGAATCATCCTGCCGTGTTATTAATGAAGCGTGTGTGTGTGTGTTTGACATGCGTTTCTTATTTCTGTGAGTTCACTTTGACTGTCACAGCACTGGAATGTCAATGATACACACTTTCACTCGAAATGAAATGTACAATAAATTGCCTACACAGCTGAACAATGAGACTGATGTTGGTTTCGTTTGTGACTCGCTCACACCGCAGATGAAGAATCACGGCAGACATTACCATGTGCAGAGCTGTCATGTTCAGTGTACGCTGTTCATCTGTAGCTCAGACACAATACTTTACAACATTACAGCAGGTGAAGGCATTTGCAGACTTGAAATCGCCGTTTTCTTTTAGGATATCTGTAGAAAAGTCAACGAGAAAGCAAACGAGTCCTGCAAACACTCAATAATCACTGTGTGTTTCTCATCTGGGAGATCGTCCTCGCGTTGATCAAGACGAAGCCTTCAGGTAACAGTTTAATAATAATTAGTTTTGACTTGTTATGCCTTCATTTGTGTGTCAACATTTTGAGATGTGTTGAATTCATGTGAAAGATATCGCATTTCCACTTCCCTCATTCATGTTCAACTGGGTAAGGGGTTAGGGATATAGACCCCAGACCAGACACGGGCAGGCAGAGAGGTTTAGCTTGGCGTGGGGATCGTGGATCGGGCTGTGGCAGATAGTGGGGAACTCAGACTCACACACAGGAACCAGAAGGGGAAACCAGAGCAACCAATACAAGAGCTGGCGGGGCAGGAAGCCC